AGCTCACTGTTCCCCCCCACCGACCATTCTTGGGGAGACTGGTCTTTTTACATGCTGCTCCTGAACTCTGGAACAATCTATTTGAAATTTGTTGTTTATCACTATTTAAATCCTCTCTGAAAACCTAACTTTACCTCATGTTTCAGTGTTAATAAATGAGTTGGTATTCATTTGCTGCTTCTCATATTTGTAAATTTAATTTCAGTGCTTTTAAGATTTTATTTGTATTTTTGTAGTATGTGAACCATGGACATCTTACTGGGTGGATACCAGTGTCTTATAAATTTTCACTTAGTATTAGTCCAGTGAGAAAACTGAATTTAAGATGTGTATTCATTATGTAAACGCATGTCTCTACTGAAATATGTTACTGATAATGACCTCCCATGCCAAGTTGTGAGGATTCATTCCCCATAGCCTTTTCGCATTAGAGGCCAGGTAAGTCGTGAAAGTCATCAGACCCACTTGAAGTTAAAGGTATTCATAAGAGATGTTGCTCAGTGTACATGCAAAAGGAACCCTAACATTTTTCACCCACACATGTAATGCCCATTGTCAGCACTGTGCCAAACTGAATGCAAACTAAAAAAAAAAAACCCAGAATAATTCAAAAAATAAAGCTGGCTTCAAGACTCACTTTGTCCAATCCCATTACATCTGTACCTCAAGGCCAGCTCTACTGGTGGTTACATGGCTTTATACACGTACGTGAATCTTCATATCTAGTCGGGCAACATTAATGACTGAAATGCCATTTATAATTTTGCACACCGGACTGCCCTTGGTTATCCACCCGTTGAAACTGCGGAGTTCCTCAGACATTCGTAAATAATCAGACTGAACAGCCCTTTACGGTTTTTGAGTTTTCGCAGTTGCTGGCTGAGGAAGCGCTGTCAGAATTTGATTTTGCAGTGGCTGTGCATGTCCTGCCGTAAGTAACCACTGCAGGTACATGTACAAGTATGCATGACGTCAAACACAGTAAAGCGAACCCATCTGTGTTGCACCAGAACTGACATGAAAGTATTGAGCTATTCTTGTTTTTTTTTTTTTACACTTCTGATTCCGGTTTGCAGTGAGACACAAACACAAACGTTACTGTCCATTCTTGATGCTGAAATGTACATAGCAGCCACTTTCTCCCTGGTTACACTCAAGTTGTAGCCTACATGCCTACATTCATATCGGTGTTTAGAACAGCTGTCAGAGCATTCAAGTAATATGTGCACATTCCTGGTCTGTAAATGGTGAGAATGCTACAGGGATCTCCATTCCAACTCATTGTGCCAGAGTTTCCAGTTTGTTTGCGTGAAAGGATATATATGCCTCGTGATTACTTTACAATGGTTGGATTTGATAGGAATGGATAATGGAAAATTGTTTAAAAATTTGCCTTTTGGGTGTTCGATGTGGCTAGGGCTCATATCATGACTTACTCTGGTGATGTATCTTGACTTTTTATCTCACCATATAGTTCATCGTGCATAATTTACTGCTGCAAATATATTACCCTCTAGATGCATGACAGCATTGGTTTACATGTACATGTGCATGTATGTCAGTCACTTCATGTACCTGATGTGTATTACAGAACTCTTTTTTTTTTTCATCCATGTACTCTCTTGCATAAATTTTAGAAAGCTGAGCAAGTTTAATGATCACTGAATGCATACCGGTGTGTTTTCATTCCCTCATAATATAGACGATTCACATTAGTGTGCCCCCAAGAGTCAGCAATGCGTTGGCCAATCACAACGTGCGAAATTTGGCAACGCTTTCCGAACGTGCATTGGGTCGACAGATTTCATGCATTGTGATTGGCCAACACGTTGCAAACTCTTGGTGGGGCGCCATTGTGAATCACCTGTACTGTATACATCTTTGGTGGGAAAAGGGACCAATGCGATATTCTATGCACTGTAGTCTATTGGACAAAGATGTTTCTGACAATTTGGCCAAAGGCATTAGACACACACATCATCTGTACTCCAGATTGTGCCCAATCAGCCAGTGTTAGCTGGAAGGGTTGAGTTGGCTGACAGCTATTGACCAGTCAGCAGTCCTTGGTCTTGTTCCTGACCAGCATCTCCAATTTTCTGACGCACAGAGTTGCATAGTTTTCGTGCACATAAACATCAGGCATAATAATCCAAACAGGCAAGGGCAAATGCACCATCCTCAGAGTTTCCCTCTCTCCCCCCCCCAAAAAAAAATTGACAAAAAAATGTGGGGGGGGGGAAATCAACAGGCCGTTACAAACTTCTTTCTAACACCACTTGGGATGATGAAAGAAACTATTATGGCAAAACCTTCTTACTTTTCAAGGGAACACTCTACCATTGTGGCTGGCCAGAGGTGACTCGTCACTGATGTATGTGTGCCTCAAAAGCACATCTCATGGTCAGTCCACAATGGCATCATTTGTACTGGGTGCGAGCACTCTGTCTGTCTGTCCAGCTCGGTAGGCGACTGAAAAATGGAAAGCCAATCAAATCTGCCAATTGTCCGCTTGCCACTGATGACAAATTGGTTTCCTCTTCTCTGCACAAGGTAATTGGAAAGCATATCACAGCCAAAGGGGTCGTAGGGAATTCCATCTTTTCATTTCGAGGTCATTAATAGGCCCCAAAAGGAGTTGATTTTCACACCTTTGGCCCAAGCAGAAGGTGGAGCAGTACTCTGAGCAGCCAATAATCTTTATACCCTTTATGTCAGGATGTTCTTTAGGTTAAGTGGTCAATTTACATCCCCCCCACTTTATTAGTGCTGGCCATTTTTTTTTTAAGTAGTCGGATGATTTCTTGTCTTCTTATTGGCAGGTAAAGCATGTTGGAATATTGTCCTTCAGGGGACTTTGCATAAACAAGTTATCAAAATTTTCCACTGAATAGCACAGCAGAAATTGTTTCACACAGTATTGGTGCTGTTTGTCAACAAGAATGTGGTTTGTACCACTTCACGCATTTTTTTTCCCTGTGAGATGTGTTTATTCAGCAAAGAAGTACATGAAAATATCCAAAGGAAAGAAAATAAATTGACACATGGCTCATGAGTATGGTTTTTCTTTCTGATTTTAATGTTCAATCCACAAATATTTCCTGCTAAAGACATCCTCAATTTTGAGACACAATTGTTAGAGTTGTACTTTAATAACAGCGTAATTTTGCCCCTAAGTGATTGCAGCATGTCGATGAAACTAGATGCACGCCTTACACAAATTGTAATATTTCCAAATAGGTCACTTGGGAGACATTTTGTGGTAAATTTTTCAACATTAGGAGACATCGGTCATTAGGGAGACATTTCAATGTCTCCCTAATGCTCCACCTACATGTACCAAAAGGAGGAAAATTTTTACTGTCCACATTTTGAAAGATGATAGATTAGGGTCTGAAAGGAAAACATGCAAAGTTTGGTTAAGATCGGATTAGGGAATATTGAATTATGGGACGGTAAAGTTTTAAAAAAATTTTGTGCACGTTCCTATGGAAATGTCTCCCAAGTGACCCATTTTCGGTAATATTAATAACTGGGAGTATCATTTCCATGGCCGACCAAGTTCCCACATCTCCATCCTGCCAAAACACCCCACCGAATTGACGATCATCCCAATAATGACGCACTGACCTCTTCCTACCCCCCGTTTGTTGCCTTTGTGTTTGTTATTTTTTTTTCATTTTGAAGCGCGTAACGCCACCACCCATCTCCCTCACTCTTCCCTCTTTCCTTACAGTTCCAGTTCATAATTGCTGGACCCGGAGGCTGTGCAGCTGTCCCAATTCGGGCCATTTTACTTGCAAAGATCCGCATAACTGTTTACCCGTCCTCCAAAATGTTTTGCTAATCAACTCATGCCCTGTCTCGTTAGGGTGTTTCCCAGACATTGATTTTTCGATATCTCGACCTCTTGAGGGGTATGCTCCAGTTACACTGGCCATGCTTTTTTTCCCTCCAGCTTTTACTTTTTGGTGGAATGGAGTTTAATTCTTAGGATGTATAAAATTCTGGTCAAAAGTTACATCCCCTTTGGCCCTGGGTTCACATGGATCAATCCCATTTCCATAAAGATATCCAGTTACGTTACCAGTAATATGGACGATTAATCATTGGTGTTGATTGTGAGGGAACTGATCTTCTTACGAGGAGCGAAGAGTTTCGGGGGATAATTATGCTTCACCCAAAACTGGCCGGAGGGTGCATGAAATGCGTGGCTCTTTTCCCGCTCTGGTTGGTGGGGCTCCAGAGGAAAGGGGGAATCGCATGAACGGGATCGTAATTCAAATACAGAGACTTCAGTGAGGAAATTCTCAGAATAGTTTAGGTGAAACTTTTTCAGGGCAGTTTCTGGAGGCTGGGATTGGGTGGATGGGGGTGGGGGTGTCTTTCTCTTATTCATTTTCAAAGAGCGCATTCATGAAATGATTGATTCGAATAATTTGATGTGTTGAATCAGTGTTTCGAACATTGTGTCCTATAAATGTGTGAACATGAGGCCCAACCTAACAAACTGAGTTAAAAGTCCACAGAGCCACTTTTGAGTTTAAAACCTCTGCAAGAATCTTGCACAGTGTAAGTTAATGGGAAACCACAGCATTTTTCATCAATTATGTCCATTTCCATCAGTTTGCCAAACTGAGCAATGCATGAAAACAGAGATCTCGGTTTGCTCTTTGTAATGACAACCCTAAAAAATGAGTGTAAAAATGGCCTTAAGACTCATTTTGTGGGAATGAACTCGGAGTCAGATTGCAAATAAGCAGCTTGAATTTCATCTTGGTCAAGTTTCTCCCACACCTTGACTTCCTCACTATTGTAAGATGAGAGAGGAATTATAGAGAGAAAAAAACCTGGCAGGCAGCCTCATTGGGATGGTTGTCTTTCCGGATCTGTCAGCTGAAACGAGGGAAAGAAGGTCATAATGAACCATCATTAGATCTCATACCACTGCACGCAACGGTATAACTAAACCAACATCATCTGTCCATTTGTACTGTGTACAGATGCTGCAACCAGTTAGGATCATTGGAAGTGTTAACATCTCAGCTGACCCAGCGATGCACATTGACCCAGGTGAGATTAGAAGGCATCTCTCAAATTCCTGAACCGACAGTGGAAGACTAGACCTGACCAGATCCAAGGGATCAGGTCACACCAGGACAGGTAAGATTTTTGTGTGGATTATTACTCTCTGTTTTCCCCCTCTAGGAGAATGGGGAAATACCACTGGAGGAAGAATTTTCTTTTCCCTATTAATGAGATTTGAAAAATTAATAAATGGTATTTAGCTTCGAAAACACATTATAGTACAATGTGCAGCAAACTGTCACCTGTGTCCATACATGCGTTTCAACAACTGATCTGGTCGTGGTCTTGCATTAAACCCAGCAACCCACAGTAATGTTGGATATTACATAGTCCTTTCAATCACACCTTCCGTAATTTATACATCTGGCCAAAGTAGCCATCACGTTCCTCCGAATGCTCATCCCCCCCCTCTCTCAAGCATCCCTGTCCACCCTGACTTGAAGGATTTTTCATATCAACCAGAAACAGCACGCGTACAGGGTACGTGCCTGGGTGTACAAATTCAAATTGCTGGCCCTTCCAAATCAGTATTTCTCCCTGCACTCCCCCTCCCCCCCCGTACTCTCTGTAAAGAAGTCGTCTTGGCCTAATTCCAAACTCGTAAAACTGCCCCACTCTTCATCTCCATATCTTTCCCGCTCTCCTCTCCGCCGTTCACTTTCGAGTTATGCATAAGAACAGGGGGCTATAACATTTCGACTTGATCGGAGCGGGCGCTGAGTTAACTTGGTTTGTAGCGGGGCTTACATTACCTGTATAAAGTCAATAGTTCTCCAGCCGGCATGGAGGCAAACACTTCAATCCATCCATCTCTCCCCCCATCCCATCCGTCAATTCATATGCTGCTCTCATCATCACCGCTACTCTGATGCAATCATCCGCCGGGAAAGTAGGGAGAGGTAGGAAGGAAAGAGGAGAGAGAATGAGAGAGAGAAAAAAAGGAGCAGCAACCAGGGAAATGATTGAAAACGTGTCGCATAGGACTGCGACAGATTGTTCACATAATCTTCCCTGGTAGTGGTATCCTTTGTATGTCTCACTCATACTTGAGTACCTGGTCCTCTTTGGCCTCACTTGCTTCCATCGTCTTGGCCATGTTATCACATCTGTCCATTGCCCCTATTTTGACCTGTTTCAAGAAGCTCTTTTGATACATGTATGTTGACATTCATTTATATTTTCAAATAGTTCTTGTTTTTCTTATTTTAGCAGAAACAACCGAGGAAATTTATGGATTCATAAACCTGAAATTTATGCAAAGTAATGTTTTGCCATTAGCAGCTAATCATTCTGACAAATTTCTTATCCAAAAAAAAGGAAACCAGATAAATTCTATTACTTTGCACTAATCACATAATGGTTTATAACCTTCTTGAAGTTTTCACTCTGATTGGCTGTGCAGATGTGATGTCATGCCACCTGCCAATCACTCTTACCCCCCCCCACATTTTAATTCAAACAGTGGCTTTTTACCCTGCTATCTCTCACCCAGCCCGCCTGCCCCGGCCACTTACTGGGGAAATATCACAGGAAGTGTCGGCATGCTCCAGCAGGCAGAAACAGAGGGAGGGAAACCGTAGGAGGATGAAGCACTTGGGTCGGTTGCAGTCAGCAGCCGTGGCTTGGCCAGGCCAAGTATAGGGCTGGCGGAGAGAGAGCAAGCCAGAGATCCCTCCCCGACTGTGATTGTAGCGTGTCACCACAGCTGACTGATATGTTTGGCTTTGAAATCCCTTCACACTCCAAACCCAGAGTGAGATGGAGTGCAGTTGGGGTCCGAAGCTAATGGAATTTAACCGCATTCCCCTGTTTTTTTGTTTGATTTTCGTTTGTCCAGTTTTCTTCTTCTTCTCCCCCTCACTCCGCAGTTCTTCCCACTCTCTGTGGAGAATGACGGATCACTCCATTTGGAGAAATAAAATTAATGGAGATTGGAGGGCCAGAGAAATTTACCTTGGTGGGTCTGTGTGTGGCCTGTGACGTGTGGTGTTGCAAAGATCGCGCGCGCATGGCTGGGGGGGGGCCAAGGCTCGGCAGGCGGTGTTGCGGTCGCGTGGTCAAATGTTTGCTGAGGAATATGTATCGCCTCGGACAGCTTTCCCGGGGCAGGCATCCTCTGTTTCAATAAATTCCTCTTGATGTATGGCACTTGCCCCAGGCAGGCTCCCTGGTCTGCGTTTTGGCTTCCCTCAGGAACAGCGAAAAAACAAACCAACATATGCCGACCTGAATGTAGATACATTTCAGCCCTGTCAACTCCAGTTAGGCCAGCTCAGAAAGAGTGGCCTCTTCATGAGTACTTTTCATCATGGAAGGAGTACTGATATACTGACACACTTATTTGCCTTTCTTCAGCCATGGCATACCTGGTTTTTTATTCGGTAGGCGTGTATCCACACATTTTGTAGCAGGCTTTGTTTGACCTTTGCTTTCTCCATATGTGTTTGTGTACTTGACAGTCATTAGGAGGTTTGCAACGATTTATAGATATATACCTTTTTTATTCCTCTAACCACAATAAACTACTAGTAATTGTACAATAGTGAGGGAAGTGTTTGCTTTGTTATAACACTGTTTCTACTGTTAACTGCGGTGCATGGTAGTTATTTTTTTCTTTGTATTAACTGTGGATTCTTTTATGAATGAGATGGAACAATTCACATCGGTATTGTGCAACTTTTTTTTAAGATGAACCTGTGAAAAGAGAAGTTGAAAGCTTAGAGCCAAATGACATGAATCCAACATGTTCATGTCACATTATGAACCCATGGGAGACTACAATGAACAAGGGCTCCCTCTCTTGACTCTGAGCTGTCCACACAGCTCATTTCTGCTTGTAGTGATTAGCACTATTGAAAGTGCAACAAGATAAGCCTGCACTCAAAAGTCAGTCAGTGTTGATTGACTGATGATTGTAATTCCTCTCTTCATTAATATTTCCCAAATTGGGCACCCTTGTTCGTCCAAGCTTGCCTTTGTTTCTTTCATATTTACTTACCCAAACAAGTTTGCAGATCAGTTTGCCACCAGCCAAGCACACGTGAATGGAGGACAGCCATAGAAGGACCCCAAGAAATCAAGAGACTGGACATTGGCTAGCAATTTAGTGTTTCCATGGTTTATTGAAAGACAGCATCCAAGTACCTAAAAATGACTTGCATTTGCATGTACCTAACCCATCACTCACTTTGGTCACAGACCTTTTTAAATGGGATTGGCCATGTAGGGTTAAATTGACATTATGTAATAGTTTCAACCCTAAGTTGGATTAACACATCTCTTATGGCATTAAGTCAGCAAAAATTGGCATTTTCTGTGTGCTTTTATCAGTCTTCGCCTGGGCTCTTCACAAAAATTTATCGAAATTGGTCATTGAGGGCAGCAGCCAAATCTTAGCAAAAATGTGATGTCATAGACGGACTCAACTTTCCAGACCAGAATGCATAGTTCTGGCAAAAGAGTTGATCGGTCTGCGCAAGAATAATAATTCTCTCAGCTCTGGCGCATAGTCGGGTACGTAACTTGCATGTGTCAAGTCAACCATATTTAGTCTTATTTCCCATGTCCTTCTCTTAACACAGTGCAGAGCTATTGGGAAACTGACGTTGCATTCATTTTGTTTCACATTGCGTCGTACACATGTAATAATTTCTATTGTGAATTGTAAATTTCGAAAGAATGCTGATAAACTGTGTTGTCAGTGGCTGTTGTCACAATCAAAACAATTCCCCAGGGAGCAGTTTTTATAGATTCCTGAGTGACTTTTCACACCAGCATTTGTGGGTTAGATTTGTGGACAACACACGATCAGCTTTCCCTGTATAGAGAAATCCCAACCCAACGTTTCACGTCACCTGGTTTTGCCGACGATAATACGTGCATGTTACACCTTAAAACAGGATTTATCAAACATCGGGGAATACAGCCATCAAAAAGCCAATGTAGGACAATTACGTCTTTCAGAAATTTTCATAATGGTGCAGGAAAAAAATCATGACCAGTCAGTGTTTTGTTGTCGATCCCCCGGATTGCGGCCATGCCTGTGGCCAACAGCCCCCAGTTGCAAAATCTCTTCCTGGGTGTATTCTGGTTCCAACTGACAAGGAAATATTTCTTGTGCCTCATCAGCTCTTTCAATGTCCCTTCCTTTGTCAAATGAATAAGATTAACATGACAACTGATTAAAAATCATCGCAGGAATTATCATTGCTTGAGTCTGACATAATGGCACATGCGAACGCTAGTGTGTTACGTACATGTTGACTCGTCGTTGCATAACAGTAAACTGTTGCTGGATAAAGGACTCCATCCTATGACATCACGATTCTTGGGAATTTCTTCAGACAGCTTTCAGTACCCGATGGCTGTTGTTTAGCTTTTGCTCCGAGAAGGGAGTGATATAGGTTCATGAAAACTATAATTTTTAATGTATTTCTGCACATTTTGAAATTATGCAGATGTGTTTTTTTTTGTTATATGTATGTTCATTTTGTTGATGCATGTTGATGGCATGTTTTACTAGAAGTCTTCCCATCCCCTTTAAGGCCACTGCGACAGCGTTACATGTGGGATAACTCTGCACAGTTTCAGTCCCATCTCCAATGGTAACTTAACAATTTTCAAAGTCGAGGGGCGTCGGACTTTGTGAGAGCATCAGGCATCAGCCATTAATAGAATAATCCATAAAGCCCCACCCCATTATAAGACCTGCCGAAATTGGGGGGTCATTGCCTACCCCCCACCCCATCCCCCTTCAAAAAAGTGGGGGTCACTGGCCCGCCTGACCCTGCTTCTGGCACCAGTGCCCAACTCATAAAAGTAACTCATGCTCTGTATGTTGGTGTCAAACTGCACAAAGAAAATGAGTACAACTTCAGTGAAAGTGTGCATTTATGTGATCAAGTACAAAACCACTTAAAGGACAACAGGAAAAGATGAATCCAGTCGGAAGACCCAAATTCTTGCCGAAATACCAGATGACTCTTTTTTGTGTATTTGGGACAGAGAATTTATTTCACCAGACTACATTGCTTCTTCTTCATCTTCACTACCAACCTGACTTGCCTCTTGCAGAT